ATAGCTCTTAATACAGAACTTGGTAAAAACGCTAAAAATGAGTTTGAAAAAAACCTTTTTAAGCTTATGAACAACACCGTCTTTGGGAAGACCATAGAGAACATGCGAAAGAGGATCAACAAAGCTCAAACTGGAAAGTGGATGATGTATTTCCCAAAACCATCCTAGATTCAAAACGGCAAGACTGCTGGCGTCTATACCAACAAGGAAAGTATCAGCAGAATTGATTTTAAAAAACTTCCGAGATTTAAAACAAGGCTCAATCAGGAAAATGGATGATGTTCTTTGAAAAACCCATTAGATGAAAAAAATGAGAAGACTCGCGCCCATTTCCACGAAGTATCAAACAATCGGAAACAGGACAGGCGTCATGATGTTCGCCCTACACTGATGAGAACCAAAAAGCTCGAAACCGATGTGCGAACTGTTAGAGGTATTTTAGTGAAAATTAAGGGGTCTCGGAGCTGTAGACAAGATATTATGAGGGGACGATGTCTGATAGTTGTGAAAATTTACCTTTATGTAAATATGAGGCAATATATTCAGGCTATGTCTGAATATGTCGCTTCAATATAGGTTTTGCAACATCAAACGATAACGAACATCGCGTGAAAGAAGGACTTTGCGAATGTCTGAACCCAATAAGTTCACACCCTACCTAGATCATCCTACATAGAGTTACCCCCAAAGATCATGAGGAAACAGACCTCAGCATCATCGTCAAAAAGTCGTGGGATTGATGATGGATGAATCTACATGGGTTAATATTAAGTGTAAAAATAACGAGGATATTTTTCAATAACATAGGTCCGAAGGAGTTGTGCTAGATCGAGCAAACTCTTGCAGCTGAAGACAATGTTGATAATCTGTATGAAGCCTCTCGAGTGCGAGACTGATGATGTATTGTACACACACCTGCAGGCTGCCTCCTCAGTACTCGATGCTGGTCCGCGTGAAGACTCCTCCTATTTCTTGAACATTGCCGTCGCTCTGAAAATTTCAAGTGAAATTAAGTTATGCCAGCATATTTGATTGAGATAATATTAATAGACTCTTTTATTATTTTTTCAACATTTATTATCACTTCATCTTGAAGAAAAGATTCAATTTAAACCGTACGAAAGTTTTGTTTATCACGGTTGATTTTGTAAGGCTGAAAACTACAAATAAAATGAGGCAAACCGGAAACGGATGGAAAAAAGCAAGATATCTTTAACTGAAATACCTTGGGAATATTATTTTATCGTTCAGATACGACACTATATAAAGGCAGCCCCAGACCTTCTGTACAATTCAGATTTGAAAAATCATGTGAGTAGTACACATCTCTCTCGGTTTTTAAAATTATATACTGATATTTTGTTATAGGAGTCGCGAATATTTGAGGAGGGTCGTTTGGCCCTACATCGTGGTAGAGCATGAGCCTAGAAGGCTCATTCTGCTACCCGATGAGGCCGTCACCCCGGCTACGGTTAGGGTGACCATTAACCAACGAACAGGGGTTAGATCTGTCTCGATGTAGGTGAAGCAAAAATCAAATTGAAGTAATTTTAATAATAATAAATAATTTCAGAGTGGTAGATGCGAGATATGTTTATGTGTAAGTATACAATATAGCCACTTTTCGATAATTTACAATTTATTTTCAGCTATAAAATAATAACAGATCCAAACACCATGGAGGTGTTGAGCAACTACCCGTAAGTATACTACATAAACAATATAGACATATTTCACCCCTTCTTTTTTTTAGTATACATTTGATAGCCGAGTAGAGAGGAAAAGTGGATTAGGCCTCCTGGGGATACCACTAAAAAAAACGCGCCAACAGACTTACCTCAAGGGTGGTGAAGGAAACAGTCTGAATACGCTTGGATACAGCATGGAAGAAGCCTCTCTACTCTTCGTGCAACACAGGGCGTTGTGGTTAGGGGCGATGACACGTTCGCCTGTGAAAAAAAGGAACGTAAATTCGTGGAAGAAAAATACAAAAACCCAACATTCTTCCTCTCCCACATACACACATGCTATCAATTCCATAATGAAAAAAACGCGCCAACAGACTTACCTCAAGGGTGGTGAAGGAAACAGTCTGAATACGCTTGGATACAGCATGGAAGAAGCCTCTCTACTCTTCGTGTAACACAGGGCGTTGTGGTTAGGGGCGATGACACGTTCGCCTGTGAAAAAGAAGGAACGTAAATTCGTGGAAGAAAAATACAAAAACCCAACATTCTTCCTCTCTCACATACACACATGCTATCAATTCCATACATAAACTGATGACTCATCCCGACTTCATGTTTTTAGCAAGAGCACCCCAATTTCCTAATTATCGTCTGTACATATATACCCTATGTGACAATGTCCTTCACGATTAGAAATTTCTCCATATTCACCTCAAAACACAAATATGTTCAAAAAATCAAAAAACATCAAAGATTTCAAACGCACAACCGTAACAAAGAACGCTTGAACAAACTATAAGCTAAACACCCCACGAGACTGGTATATATAGACGAAATTAAAAGGGGTTGTGAGCGAGATGTAATTAAATAAACGCCCACGAAACAAATGGCAAGATCAAAACAAACTCGCCTGCAATACTCACCTAGCTCTAATCGTCAGCAATACAAACAGATAAAGAGAACGATTGCTGGAGCGTCCCCAATATTTATAGTCCCCCGCGAAACCGCAAGAATGATAGCGATTTTCATTAAATAATGTCTGTTTTCAAAGGCCCCATCCTCTGTAGAATTTCACGTATTTTCCATAAGTACTCATGTTATTTTCTGAATTTCCTATATCGGTCTTGAAATACACAAATTGTGAAAACAAGCACACTTTTCGCCGAGCTCGCTATCGTTTGTTATCGTTTTGAAAACCGCAATTTCAAACCGCAGCTGCTAAATAGAACGCAATATTTTCTGCCAGAGAATACACACACACAACTATTTGTTATCGTTTAACCTCAGAATACAGAATACAATCTGTAACTTTTTTTCATCATTCTGATATTACCAGTTTTCCATACCATCAAATAAAAACCTTCAAGAAATAATAATTTATTCATAAATAGATACAATTTTTGTTACTAACCTCTTCAATTGGGATAATAATTCTGTCTTATTGCAGGGTATTCCAAAAACAGTCCAGTTAAATTCTCCAGCGTTCAAAACCTTCCTTGTATACTCGCTGTACTTGTAATATGTGTTTTTGGTTAAAAAGTATATGTTTCCGTCAGTATATCGAAACACCGATATTATTCCCGATGGGATCCCTGGAACAGCATAATTGAGAGGCCCACGACTGATTGTATTTCCAATTTCATCGAACTCAATGTAGGAATCGTTATTGTATAGTAAATAAGACTGACCACTGTTAGTTTGGAACACAGCGTTTATCTGTGCATTGGTGGGCAGAGAAAATATTATTTTGTGGCGAATTTGTAAATTTGGAAAGTCTACAGCGTAATATGTTTTATTTACGGGTGTAACTAAACAACCTTTAGAATTTTGAAAGACATGAGAAACTGGCGAGTTTTTCAACGATGGCGGAAGATATTGGTTGAGTACTTCCGACTGTGCAGGAGTATTCATATCGTTCAAATCTATTTTCCACAAAAACTCCTTATACCCTATGTACAGACGATAATTAGGAAATTGGGGTGCTCTTGCTAAAAACATGAAGTCGGGATGAGTCATCAGTTTATGTATGGAATTGATAGCATGTGTGTATGTGGGAGAGGAAGAATGTTGGGTTTTTGTATTTTTCTTCCACGAATTTACGTTCCTTCTTTTTCACAGGCGAACGTGTCATCGCCCCTAACCACAACGCCCTGTGTTACACGAAGAGTAGAGAGGCTTCTTCCATGCTGTATCCAGGCGTATTCAGACTGTTTCCTTCACCACCCTTGAGGTAAGTCTGTTGGCGCGTTTTTTTTATTATGGAATTGATAGCATGTGTGTATGTGGGAGAGGAAGAATGTTGGGTTTTTGTATTTTTCTTCCACGAATTTACGTTCCTTTTCTTCACAGGCGAACGTGTCATCGCCCCTAACCACAACGCCCTGTGTTGCACGAAGAGTAGAGAGGCTTCTTCCATGCTGTATCCAAGCGTATTCAGACTGTTTCCTTCACCACCCTTGAGGTAAGTCTGTTGGCGCGTTTTTTTTATAGTGGTATCCTCAGGAGGCCTAATCCACTTTTCCTCTCTACTCGGCTATCAGATGTATACTAAAAAAAAAAGGGGTAAAATATGTCTATATTGTTCATGTAGTATACTTACGGGTAGTTGCTTAACACCTCCTCCATGGTGTTTGGATCTGTTATTATTTTATAGCTAAAAATAAATTGTAAATTATCGAAAAGTGGCTATATTGTATACTTACACATAAACATATCTCGCATCTTCCACTCTGAAATTATTTATTATTATTAAAATTACTTCAATTTGATTTTTGCTTCACCTACACCGAGACAGATCTAACCTCTGTTCGTTGGTTAATGGTCTCCCTAACAGTAGCCGGGGTGACGGCCTCATCGGGTAGCAGAATGAGCCTTCTAGGCTCATGCTCTACCACGATGTAGGGCCAAACGACCCTCCTCAAATATTCGCGACTCCTATAACAAAATATCAGTATATAATTTTAAAAACCGAGAGAGATGTGTACTACTCACATGATTTTTCAAATCTGAATTGTACAGAAGGTCTGGGGCTGCCTTTATATAGTGTCGTATCTGAACGATAAAATAATATTCCCAAGGTATTTCAGTTAAAGATATCTTGCTTTTTTCCATCCGTTTCCGGTTTGCCTCATTTTATTTGTGGTTTTCAGCCTTACAAAATCAACCGTGATAAACAGAACTTTCGTACGGTTTGAATTGAATCTTTTCTTCAAGATGAAGTGATGATAAATGTTGAAAAAATAATAAAAGAGTCTATTAATATTATCTCAATCAAATATGCTGGCATAACTTAATTTCACTTGAAATTTTCAGAGCGACGGCAATGTTCAAGAAATAGGAGAAGTCTTCACGCGGACCAGCATCGAGTACTGAGGAGGCAGCCTGCAGGTGTGTGTACAATACATCATCAGTCTCGCACTTGAGAGGCTTCATACAGATTATCAACATTGTCTTCAGCTGCAAGAGTTTGCTCGATCTAGCACAACTCCTTCGGACCTATGTTATTGAAAAATATCCTCGTTATTTTTACACTTGATATTAACCCATGTAGATTCATTCCTCATCAATCCCACGACTTTTTGACGATGATGCTGAGGTCTGTTTCCTCATGATCTTTGGGGGTAACTCTATGTAGGATGATCTAGGTAGGGTGTGAACTTATTGGGTTCAGACATTCGCAGAGTCCTTCTTTCACGCGATGTTCGTTATCGTTTGATGTTGCAAAACCTATATTGAAGCGACATATTCAGACATAGCCTGAATATATTGCCTCATATTTACATAAAGGTGAATTTTCACAACTATCAGACATCGTCCCCTCATAATATCTTGTCTACAGCTCCGAGACCCCTTAATTTTTACTAAAATAACTCTAACAGTTCGAACATCGGTTTTGAGCTTTTTGGTTCTCATCAGTGTAGGGCGAACATCATGACGCCTGTCCTGTTTCCGATTGTTTGATACTTCGTGGAAATGGGCGCGAGTCTTCTCATTTTTTTCATCTAATGGGTTTTTCAAAGAACATCATCCATTTTCCTGATTGAGCCTAGTTTTAAATCTCGGAAGTTTTTAAAAATCAATTCTGCTGATACTTTCCTTGTTGGTATAGACGCCAGCAGTCTTGCCGTTTTGAATCTAGGATGGTTTTGGGAAATACATCATCCACTTTCCAGTTTGAGCTTTGTTGATCCTCTTTCGCATGTTCTCTATGGTCTTCCCAAAGACGGTGTTGTTCATAAGCTTAAAAAGGTTTTTTTCAAACTCATTTTTAGCGTTTTTACCAAGTTCTGTATTAAGAGCTATGTATGACTTTAACCATGTAGATTGTTTGAACTTCAGCACTTTATGTATCTTCTTCAATACTAAACCGTGTGGTGAAGCCTGTTTCTGCATTCGGTAGTGAATAATATATTTCTCTTTACAGTTATGCATAGACCATGAATGGGGCTTTTTCTCTCTTTGGCTTCTGTTCTAGCGCGAATGTCTCATTTATTCTCACACAATTCTTCATATATTTATTGAACTCATCTTCAGAATAAAAATAGTGTAAACAGTGGCCATAGATGTATTTTCGCCCATTTTCTTTGCTCAGCTGTTTCGAAAGAAGCTTGGAGAGATCTTTGATCCACACATACTGATAGTTGATGGGGGCTGAAAGCCTTTCGCAAGCATCTTTCTCATCGAAGTATTAACCCTGGAAGAGTAGGAGATTGACATGCTTCTCTACCTTATTTTTGAGAGATTTACCTGCGGGGTGACTATCTTCTTCTTTATTTTGCTTAAAACATAAACATTTATCGAAATACTATTCTGTTTCTCGAATCAGGGGTGATCCTTACACTGGTGTACTCCAAATAAACAAATTGAATGGCTAGCTTCTCCTTCGTTTTGCTTAAAACATAAACATTTATCGATATACTATTCTGTTTCTCGAATCGGGGATTCTGCTTGCTCAAGATATTGCACGGAGGACCAGGGTTCAAGATCATATTTTCAATCGAATTTTACACAGAACGCTGATAAAAAACTTCAATCGCAATTTGTTTACCACTGTCTGATGAAGAGAAAAAAAGGAATGACGATGCTGTTATTCATAGAATATTTATAATGATTTCTGCTTTTTGTAACCGTAAGGTACAGAAGTGTGATCTTCGAGAAATTTCTGCTTCAAACTTACAGGCTTGTACTTTTTGGTTACATCAACTGTGATGACCTCATGTTCCTTGGTTCGACGGACCTGTTTGCTCACTAGTTAACCAGACTTTATAATCGTAATTCTTTGGTCCATCAGATACAGGGTACTGCATTCACTGAGGTGAATCTGTGCTTGCTATCATCCCCTGCGATATTAGAAGATTCTGCCCCTTATGTTATATTTTTATTCAATACATTTACTTATACTCTACATTATTATTTTTTCGTCATATATATTGTTACTTCTTCGAAATTTTTTCAAAATGTTCAGGTGAACCTCGTAATTCAACCGATATTGAAACATTGGGTTTCTGTGGAGGTCTATGAAAAGAGAGGCGAATCCTGATCAGGAGACATATTACCTGTGATGGATTTTTCACTTGAACTTTTTAAAAATATTGTTGTTGTACGCACACTGAGACCTTGTGTCTCACAGCCTACCGCAGTTTCAGATCATGCCATAAGGAGACGTCGCACTACCCTGTTGCCCACTCATCAGCTCAGCCTTCTGATGGTGCAGCCGTAGATGAGGACTGATGAAGCACAGCCCTAAACTACGAGAAATGAACTTCTCTGCAGACTTCTCGTCCATTCGACTTGATAGCCTCAGCGACAAGTCGACAGGTTCAGCTCAAGAGGACCCCATAGCCGTATAAATGTAATGAAAGACGAAAGCTTTTTATATCGTTTATTTAAATATTATGATATTACATTGGCATTCTTGAGTTCGTTAATAATCAATGAGATTCCTCCATTATCATCGTGCTCGTTTGCTCCAATCAGATATCTTAGTCTGTCAACCAAGATATTTGGGTCCTCCCAATTATCTAGAATATCGTAGATCGTTTCAGCCTGCTTCTCCCTTCTCGATCTATGTTGTGATGTGACATCAGGCTCTTCTCTCACCCTGACACTTCGTTTAGGTCTGGTCTTATTTTTAAAGAGGGGTTTAATAACTTCATTGAATTTAGCCTTGTTAGCAAGTCCCCTCAAACGGTCTAGTGCGTCGCGATGAACATTGGTGCTTTCCAATATCTGTTTATATGTATGATGATCCATAGGCGTATATATTTTAGGATTTTTGGAAAATATCAATTCCAAAAGACCCAAAGTACTTTTAAAATTGACAGCATCTACAACTATATCTGTATCGACAAAACGTAGTTTCTTATTTCCAAATTTCCATCTGCCGTCAACATATTTCGGTCCATAAGCATTATCATAATCTGTACAATGCTATTCATCTACTGTTTGCTCTGCTGACTGCTCTTCTCTCTCCTCAGGCTCCATTGGCTCGAGGTGGTGGTGCTCCTTTGTCGGTTGCTGTTAAACTAGTCTGACTGCTACAAAGTCCTATTTATAACAGGCTGAATACCTCTGAAGACATCTGAATACCTCTGAAGACATCTGAATACCTCTGAAGACATCTGAATACCTCTGAAGACATCTGAATACCTCTGAAGGCGTGATCTGAAGACCTCTAAAGACATCTGAAGACATCTGAAGACATCTGAAGGCGTGATCTGAAGACCTTTGAAGACATCTGAAGACATCTGAAGGCGTAATCTGAAGACCTCCGAATACCTCTGAATACTTCTATATGTGTGATCTGAAGCGATCTGAAACGCTTTGAAGCACTTTGAAGCCGTCTGAAACGTTTGAAGCTGTCATCATCGGCCGTCATAGTTATACAAGATAATAAATATTACTATAGGGTAATTTCGAGAACGACAACTGTTTTCTTTGTAACTATAATAAATACAGATATCCTAATTGAGTTTCAATACCCCATCCTACAAAGAATCTTGAATCTTGTATGGAAAATTGCCGTTTTCAGCATAGCACAACGCTGGGTGATTTCTCATGTTGTTATTTTGTTCATAGGTGTGTTTCAGAAATGTTAGTGAAAAGGTATTGTACCCACTACACGACCCCCTTTTTTTTGTCATGATATCTCTATAGTACGGCAAATGCGTAGTTCTGTGTCACAGAACGCACACACTACGTTGGTACTATAGGTGATGATTGATTCACAACAGCACCTATAGTACGGCCAATGCTTAGTCGTTGAAATTATATCACAGAACACTGTGTTGGTACTCTAGGTAATGATTTTTTCACAACAGATGGCAGCACCTATAGTACGGCCATTGAAATTATGCCACAGAACGCGAACACTGTGTTGGTACTGTGGGTGATGAATATTTCACAACAGATAGCAGCACTATAGTACGGCCAATGGTTAGTTCTGTGTCAGAACGCGAACACTGTGTTGGTACTGTGGGTGATGGATATTTCACAACAGATAGCAGCACTATAGTACGGCCATTGAAAGTATGCCACAGAACGCGAACACTGTGTTGGTACTGTGGGTAATGATTGTTTCACAACAGATGGCTGCACCGTACCTCATAGCCAAACAGCTACGTCTACATTTTGTGCGATCCTTTCTTCAATGGAGGGTTTGAATTTCGCGCCAACGACATAAATCGAGGATCCATATGATAACGCCAGCATTCTCATATTTAAACGAACCATTACACGAACATCGTTTGAATTTCCCGCCAAATCGCGAGGGCTCGGGATTTATTTCAAATAGAGGCTCCTGATTGGTCGACAGGCAGGCGGTGAGAGGTGGAGGGGGAGAGAGAAAGAAGTGAAGGGGGCGTCCCATACCGCCCGAGTACCTACTTGCCTATTCTTCTCGTTATATGTCCTCTGAAATCGCCCTATATGGTCAGTGCGATCGTATCTGCTATAACTGTGGGCATGTAAGATGCTAGAATGCTGAGTTACAGTGTGAACGAAGTCGAAGTCGAAGTTTCTTGTTCTGCCTGTAGTGTGCGTTATACACGAGTCGATGTCGTCTTATATGATCGTTGCGAACATATTTGCTCCAGTTATCTATGTGAGATGATAGAATACAGAGATACAGTGTGCAGACTGATGTTGTCGAAGTATCTTAACTTGCCTATTGTTCCCGTTATAAAACGTTCAAAGTCGTCTTACATGGTCAGTGCGATCGTTAGATGCTGGAATGCTAAGTTACAGAGTGAACATAGTCGAAGTCAGAGTTTCTTGTTCTGCCTGTTGTGTGCGTTATACCCGATTCGATATCAACTCATATGATCGTTGCGAACTACCATGCTCCAAAGGTATCCATGTGAGATGATAGAATACAGGGATACAGTGTGCAGACTGATGTTGTCGAACTATCTCCACTTGCCTATTGTTCCCGTTATATATCCTTCGAAGTCGTCCTATTTTGTCAGTGCGATCGTATCTGCTAAAGCTTCAGGCATGTCAGATGATGGAATGCTAAGTTACAGTGTAAACATAGTCGGAAACGAAGTTTCTTGTTCTGCCTGTTGTGTGCGTTATACCCGCTTCGATGTCGTCTTATATGATGTC